TTTTTGGTTGCAGCCATCATTGTTGTTTGGCAGGCCCGGGCTGGGGATTCAAACTCGCCACCTTAGGTGTATGTGGCTGGCGCCTTAGCCGCTTGAGCCACAGGCGCCAAGCCCAAACTCTTAAACTTTTGAAAATTCAAGCTGGAGTAATGAAATGGCAGCAGGTGACAGCCAATGTTAATAGCTGCAAACATCAAGATGAGGTCCTAACATTTTCAACGGGGAGTTGCAGTGGATACCTAGGCCTAGATTAGTTTTCTAAAAAACTGGGTGGCAAATACTCTCCTCTCTGCCTCTTCTGTATATAAGACAGTCTCACTCTGTCACCTCTGCTAGAGTACAGTGGCATCATAGCTCATTGCAACCTCACACTCCTGGGCTCCAGCAGTCCTCTTGCCTCAGCCTCCTGAGTAAGCATGTGTCACTGTGCCCAGCTCATTTTTCTATTTTAGTAGAGATGGTGTTTTGCTCTTTCTCAGGCTTGTCTCAAACTTCTGAGCTCAAGCTATCCTCTTGCTTTAACCTTCCAGAGTACTAGGATTACAGGTGTGAGCCACCATGCCCAGCCTATTTTCTAAATTTTATACAAATTACCGTAGTATGGCACTGTAATTATTTACAGACCTCTCCACTAAGATGTGAGTTCCACATCTTTGTCCCCTTTGTAACCAATCCCTAGTAAAGTGTGTAGCATACAAAATATATTCCATAGATGTTCACTGAATTAAATACTGGTGTAAAGAAAATCTAGATAAAGAAAATAAAGTATTACAGTAGTAAAGGAGACATTAGTTTATAACTCCCAATGATGAGGTAGGGCTGTGCATGAGGGAGACTCAGAACATGAACCACGTCTCAGAGCACTGAAACCTTCCAGAGATCTACTTGATTTTTTAATTTAAGCCTCTGGTCTTATCATGGTATTTTCTACACTCCATTTACTGGCCCACTCCACACAGACAGGACTATCCACACTGGCTAAACACAAAGCCTAACAATGTAGTTGACCCTTGAATAATGTGCGGATTAGGGGTACTGACCCCAAGCATTCAAAAATCTCAATGTAACTTTTTTAATTTCTTATTTTGTCAGACTTCTCCAGTGCAGTAAAGGGGGAAAGAAATAGAGCAAAAAAATTTATCTGTAACTATCAATTGAGGTAACTCACTACCTTTGGACCAGCCCTATGTATAAATTTTAACCACTCAAAAACTATTAATTTGGTGACTGGAAGACTTACTAATAGCATAAACAATTGATTAATAATTATTTTGTATGTTTCTATGTATCATATGCCCTGTTCTTATATCAACAGAAAGAAAAAAAATGTTAAGAAAATCATAAGGTAAAGATTATTTACTATTAAGTAGAAACGGACCACAAAGGGCTCCATCCTTGCCATCTTCATGCTGAGGAGGCAGGAGTGGGGTTGGTCTTACGGTCTCAGTAGTGGCAGAAGTGGGAAAAAATCCAAATAAGATGTGAACCCCTGCACTGAATATTCAGGGTTGTTCAAGGTTAAACTGTACATTAAAAATGTAACATCTAAATGATCTGGGCCAGCTGGGCAGAGTGGCGCACCTATAATCCCAGCTACTTGGGAAGCCTAGGAGGGAGGATCACTCTAGTCCAGGAGTTTGAGACCAAAGGTATAGCCTGTCTCTAAAGAAAAAAAATGAATGAATGCACTGGGCTAGTGCGGATATACATTCAGCAAAGCAACATCTTTATGTAATTCAAGGTAAAACTCTTTGACAGCTTCCTAAAGTGAACTAGTTTTGAGATAAATCACTCTGAAGTATTACACATACTGCTGCCCTAATAATTAGCAGTCTACTAAACACAAGTTAAGCTTTAATTAATGACTGAATCATCATGAGGATGATATATCATAATGTTTTCCTCAGACATCCTCACAGCTAGGTATGGAGGCTTACACCTATAATCCCAACAACTTGGAAGGCTGAAGAGGATCACTTGAAGCCAGGAGTTCTAGACAAGCCTAGGCAATACAGCTTGATGTCTTTACAAAAAATGAAATTAAAATTAGCCAGGCATACAGACACATGAGCATGTGCCTATAGTCCCAGCACTCGGGAGAATGAAGCAGGAGGTTCACAGGAGGCTTGAGCCCAGTAGCTTGAGGCTACACTGAAGTATGATCAGGGGCCATCGCACTCCAGCCTGGGTAACAGAGTAAGACCTTGCCATTCATTCATTCACACATAAATCAATTTTTAAAGATCCTCAAGAGCCTGGTATGCTGGGGGTGACATTTATTCTCTCCCCTCCTAGTGACTCTCCCTCATTAACCAGATTGCATTCCAGTGTCCCCTTTTCTAATTTGTCACTGCTCTTGCTGCCCTTCTCTTCCCCTTCCTTTACATTTTTTCTTCCACTCCTTATCTTTCTTTGCCTTTTGATACCAGTGAGGCTAATTTTTTTTTCATTGCCTTCAGTATCCAGGGAGGGCATTTTCCTTCTGCTTTCAAAGAATGTTCAATAACGGCCTGTATTGTTACCTTGTCTTTTGATTCCACTCACCTATTTTTGTCAATGACAACTGTTCTGCATTTCTTCAATTTTTTTACATTCATTTTTCCAGACAACTGAAGGAACCTGCAGGTATATGGGAGGGGGTTGTTAGTAAGTCAACATCATTTATTGTTATCCTCTCCTTACACTTATTCACTTTTTTGTTTTTACTTAGTTTTCAAAGTACAGTGCAGAAATTTCTTTCAACAGCGGAATAGTCTAACTCCTACATCACATCCTTAAAAGATTCCAGAACAGATAAGGTGCATGCAAAGTGTTTCCATCTATTTTTTGTTGCTCTCACACGGGAGACTAGGTAACTTAAAAAAGAAGTTTATTTTGGCTCACTGTCAGGAGGCTGAGAAGTCCATTATCAGGACCAGTGAGGTCTTCTGCTGCTTCAACTTGTGGTAGAAAGCAGGCAAGGGCAGAGGACAAAATACAATCTGCAACCTCACACAGTCTTAACAACCAGCTCTCAGGAGAATTAATCCATTCCCACAAAAAGTAATCCAGTCTTGTAAAAAAGGCACCACTTCCCAGTTCTACCACACTGGGGACCATGTCTCAACATGAGTTCTCCTAAGGATAAACCACATCCAAACCACAGCAAATAAATTAATGACCTCAATGAAAACTAACTTCTAGAGGACCTAACCATTAATGCACATAATATGCAGAAGCTACAATCTTTTAGACAGTAAGAGTTTTTATCAAAAACTAATTAGTATGATGGTGGCGCCTGTAGCTCAAGCAGCTAAGGTGCCAGCCACATACACCAGAGCCAGTGGGTTAGAATCTGGCCCGGGCCTGCCAAACAATGACAACTACAACCAAAAAATAGCCAGGCATTGTGGCGGGCATCTGTAGTCCCAGCTACTTGGGAGGCTGAGGCAAGAGAATCACTTAAGCCCAGGAGTTGGAGGTTGCTGTGAGCTGTGATGCCACGGTACTCTACCTAGGGCGATAGCTTGTGGCTCTGTCTCCAAAAATAATAATAATAATAATAATAATAATAAATATGCTATCAATTTAGAAAAGCTGAAGTTTTTTCTTCCTTTATGATGTTTTCACCTTGTCTATTATCATCACTACAATTTTAGGAAGGTAACAAAAATAAAACATTTATATTGTATAACTGCAAATGATTTTTTAAGAGTATGTATTTTCAGTGCCTTAAATATTTTCATTGCTTACCTATAGTAAAGAAATAAACCCTGAAAACCACCCAAATTCTTTTTGTATGGAATTTGGTTAAAAGAATCCACTGCTAAAACTACTCTATAAATTGGTGAAAGAAGTGAAAAATAAACCCTGAGCCCAGGCTCTGATTCTTTTCGCATATTTTAACATTAGGTGTATTTATGGAATCTGAATGTGTTTTTCGGCTGCGGAAGTATATCTGAGGTAAGTGAAACAAAGGCAGGTAGAGATAATTGCAATTAAGAAAAGGAAAACAAATTTCAAACTAGTCAACTTAGTTCATTTCTCCAAATTCATGGTGCATACCATCAAGTTTTTTAATTATGGAAAGATGGTCTTTCTAGGTTCAGAGCAAACATGTGATGCTACACTGAAAATTCAGAGAAAACTATAAAACACTATTCCTTTAGGGAATCCAAGAGGGCATGAAAATAATTTTTATTACAAAAATAAATGTATTTTTGTAATGGGATTTTACCTATGATAGCAAAGGCTCACATTTACTGAGAAATCAGATGTATGTCATGTAATTGTCAAAAATTTTATATGGATTAACATTTAATCCTCTCAATAACTCTAAATTAGATATGATTACTATTATCTCTGTTTTACAGATAAGTAATTTACTTAAGCCCACTTCCATTCTACAACAGGGATTCAAACACCAGAGGCCAGTTAACACTCTCATTCTCGATAATATATTATCTTCCCACCTATGGAGATGAGTATGTCCCATTCAGGTAAAATCCCATCTTCTGTCAGATTTTACTCTTTGCAGCTTACTTAAAATACAACCTGGAAGTATTTGAAAAGCATAGTTTTATATATTTGAAAGCATAGTTTTGACTTAAAAAAATTAGAGTATTTTCCCTATTACAATTATTTTTAATTTTTACTATTTCCAAAAACAAATATATAAAACATTTGGAATGTGAAAAACAGAATAAGACAAAAAAAAATTCATGGTTTAAAAGAACATAACCAGTTAGTATTCCACTGAAAATTATAATAAACACAAATTTTAATTTTTCATTTAACAATACTAAAGAATGAGGTATATAAATGTTTTAATCACAGACTTTCACTGTATGCAATTAACTGTATTTCACAATTAGCATCTTACAAAAAAGACGGTACCATAGTGCCTGTAAAAAGTACTTGAATTAAACAGAAAATTACATTACCATGTGAAACCACCAGATATCACAACTATCAAGCTCTACAGTTGTATTTTCTTCTTCAAATGTTATGATGATGCCCTTTTATGTGATATTTTGTATCCAGGTTATATTTTTAAGTTCATTTATATTTCATAAGTCTCCTATAGGTGGGTATATAATAAGCAAATGGTTAAGAGGAAGGAGACGCTAAAAGAATTTAGCGTGTGGTTTCAAGCTTGAATTTTTAAGTACAACATGAAACACTGTATTAGTTGTAAACAAAAATGCAAAATCTGTAGTCATAAAAATATTTTATTGGTAATTTTACATAATAGTGAGTGGAGCTGTAAATACTTTTTTCTTTCACAATATTGATAAATGCATAAGCTGGCAGTTGTGTCTGAAAATAGGATACTATGACTTTCATAAGAATTGTTATATTTAATAAGAAGCCAATTAAACTTATTTAAGATTAGATTACCATTTCTGTGCAACAGTTACCATTTCTGTATAAATTAGACTCATACTTCTATGACCCTGGGTAAGTCTGGGACAAGGAAACAGTGATAAAACTATCATTAAATTAAAGCTTTTCTAAAATTGCGGCTCTTAAAATATGTCAAGTTTCTTTTCTATTCTTTTCTTGCCAAATGCTTATAATTATTTGAATTTTAATGTTTCATAGAGTACAGAAAATACCAGTGTTCAATGACAACAGCACTAAATCTGACCATATAAAGCTAAACAATCAATGTTTTATTGTTTACTGATCTGCTAGTAAACATTACAATAAATGAATGTTTTGAAAAATAAGCAAACAAATCCAAAAAATGGATAAAACCAGAAACATAATTCAGAAACAATAATTTAGTAAAACATGTCAAAAACATTGGCAAAGGTTCATACAAATTCTTTATTTAATAACGATTTTCCTATTTAACCACACCAAGTACCAGCAGGTGTATTTAAGAGGATAACCATTACGAAAATCCTGTTGCAACAACAGTTGATTAAGTTGATCTTTGACTTGTATACATATAACTATTTGTTTCACAATTCTCAAATACATATTTAGGCAGCTTGCACTATGTTATAAAAAATTTAAATTCATTACATGCCAATAGTAGAGAATTCAAGAATTATGTGTTAGAATTCACTAAACTAAAAGTGAAAATAGATTTACCAGTAACACTGCATAATGAATAATTCAACCACATTTTCATGGCACATAACTGCAGAGACCAAAATGTTAAGTCTGGAAATGTTTTGTAGGCATAGACTGCAATAAAAGCTAACAAATTCTAGCAGATTTCTATTTCATGTAAAACTCAAATTATGGATTGTGCATGAGTGTGTTTGTCATGAAAATGTGGTACTTCTTGGCATAATCCGTGTATTTGCATGGTAGGACAGAAGTGACTAAGAAATTGGAGAAAATAAACTTTAATGAGATTCTCCATTCAATGATGAGGCTTCTCCTCTCGGTGAAGATGACCTGGACATTCCCCTCTCTGTGTTATCAGAGCTGGAGCCACTCTGACTGTGTGGATCTGCAGAAGCAGCACTAGATGCAGGCGGCGACTTTGTTTTCTCCTTAAAGTCTGTAATAATGACTGTCAGATCTCCAACAGTAACTTCCAAATGCTGAGCACTACTCCGATCCACATTTTTCAATCTTGGCCTAAACACAAAAAATGATAAAATTTTAACTAGCTTTTCACTCTACCAAATTTCTGAGCATACAATAAATAACAAAAGTAGCTAAAGTAACAAAATGAATACATCTGTGTTTAAAGCGATTCATGTGTAACCAACCATAAAGACATCATCAAATGTTTCAATCATTAACATGAATCAAATCAGTCATTCATGAACCTTCTTCAAAGAGACAAAAAAAACCCCCGTGGAAATAGTGGTCTCTTAATTGTGTTTTTATAGCTACAATCTAATACTGTAGACAGCTTATTAATTTTATAGAAATAGATGTTTTAGACAACAATGAAATAGTTGCACAAAGAGGAAGCGGATAAAAGCTAATGATGGAGCTTGCAGAGGAACCTATCTTTGAAGCCGTCCCTAAAGTGACAGCAAAAGGAACTGGCAGCCCTGAGAGCCAGGAATGGAGACTGGTCCTGCAGGAGCAAGGGGTTCTTCATGGTGGATGACCAAACTGATTCCTGTATAAAAAGTCAGCAAATGTTGAAGGACTCCGTGCTATTGCGTCAGATAGAGATGGAGTGCCTGTTATTAAAGTTGCCAATGATAATGCTTCAGAACATGCTTTGAGACCTGGTTTCTTACCTACTTTTGCCCTTGCGACAGACCAAGGGAGCAAACTTGGACTTTAACAAAATAAAAGCATCATCTGTTACTCTTAACATCTAGTAACTGGTTCAATTTAATCGTTTATCTTTGGTGGTAAGTTTCACGGTCAGCAGCAATGCCAATTCAGGACTAATTGTCAGCCTAGAAAAGGAACTTGCTCCATTATTTGAAGAACTGGGACTTGTGAAAATTTCTTAATCTGACAGTGGTTTCAAAGTGTACCTTATGTTCATTATAGCAGCATAATATCAATCTAACAGTCTTTGGATCATAGTAATACTTTTATCCAGGTGCTCAAGAAAGGGCCCCCTTTTCTACCTAATACTATACTAAAGAAAGAGATTAAAGATATAATTTATAGATTGACTGACTGTTGTATTTTCCTGTGGGGTCTTTTCTTTAGTGAGATCTGGGGATACCACAAAAATGGTTCAGTCTTTCACAGCTCCCATGGAGTTAGTTCAGTCACCAGATATAGATGAGATTCTACTCAGTGAATCAGAATCAAAATGGTGCATTGATCTACTTGAGCCATTAAGCGCCCCCCATTGTACAGTATGCCCGGGCCTGCAGAATGAAGCAGACTCTTTCTATCATGAATAATGGTAAGGACATGTTTTTCTTCAGATTATATTTTATTTCTTTGTGCTGAGTGTGATGAAAATAAAATGGCTTACGAAAAGTAATAAAATCAGTATAATCACTAAAAAATTTTTTAAAAGCTAACATTGAACTTCACCAATAGGCACTGAGAAGGAAGGGCATCAGAACTGTTCTGACTGAACCCATGACCATTTTGATTGGCTCTAGCTCATGCAAATATCTATTCAGTCTGCTGAATACCATTCCTAGCTCTCAAATATGAAGAAAAAAGAATAGACACAAATACCTTTCAATCTAGTAAAAAGAAAAAAGCATTATCACATTTATGCTTATATTTGTAAAATCTGTGTTTAATTTTCAATGTATCTATCAAACTCAAACTTGCATGATACTTAATAAAAGACATCAAATCTTTTACTTTCACTTTGTGTATATCAAATGATCAAAAGAATATTAAATGGTTAATTTTATTATTTAAAAAAATATCGTAAAATGCTTCAAATTTACCTGGTTTTCTTATGACTGTTCTTTTTGCTAGTTGTTTCTTTTTCACTTTTTTCTTTTTCTACTTTATCTTTTTTCTCTTTCTTTGACTGTGTAGGGGGCACAAACTGCTGAGTAACCTGCTGTGCAACCAACTGGGAGACAGGCCGAGGCTTCCTGTGTGTGTGTTAAAGAGAAAGGCTTTGTAAATTATAACTTAATATAGGTTCTTTATGAAAGAGTATCTCATGTAAAAATTCCTCATATGTAAGGTAATTCAAATACAACAATTTAAAAGATACGTTATTGTCTTTCCTGTTCAACAAAAGTAGAACAGTTAAAATTTATAGTCTAAGCTATATGGACAAATCATTAGAATATAACTGTTTCATAAATCAACATAAGAAATGTACAATACATATCAAACTAAATGGGAGACACACATATAAACATGAATGTAAAAAGTTAAACTTCAAAGTTTAAACTTTATACGAAGTAATATTTTAATTTAATCCTTCCTTCCTCAAAGAAACTAACCATCTGTGACAATTGCTATTTATTCTTTGCTTTAAAAACCTTTCATTTATCCATGTAATAAATATTGAGAGTCAAATTTTCTCACTTATTGCTTAAATCCTTAAAGTTTCATATGTCTTTAGCCACAATCTTACTATGCTCTTTTGACCCTGGAGATCTGTTTAGTCTTTGGAGACTTATCTACTTACTAACTTATTCATTAAAAAAATATTTATTGAGAACTTACTATAGGAATCATACAGGGATATCTGAAATATTGCCTGGTTGTTATAACTTTTGATGCTAGTACAAGCTTTCTCCCTGTTGACCCAGGGTTAAGGACTCTTCCAGCTTTATGACAGAACTTGGACCACTGAAGTCAAGATTCAAAATAAGCAGTCTCTAAGTTCTTAAAGAGAAAGAAGGAAAAGGAAAGGGCAGGAGAGGGAAGGAAGAAGTAAGGGAGAGAAAGATAAAAATACATTTTCACAGATGGTCTACAGACTATGGTAACTTTATTGCCTGAAAAATCCTGACCCTATTTTGGTTAGGACGATTTTTTTTTAATTAAATGACAGCTGTGTACATTAAAGCAATCATGTGGTACAGTGTGGTGTTTTCATATACAATTTGAAATATTTTCATCAAACTGGTTAACACAGACTTTATGTCAATTTTCTTAGTTACTGTGTTAAGACATTTATAGTCTACTTTTAGAAAGATTCACTTGTACCCTTGTAAGACAAACCATAGAGGTAATCCCTGGTGGATGGGTGGAGGGAGGGTTAGGACAATTTAAAAAAAAAATTTTTTTTTTTTTAACTAGGTTGCTCATGCCTATAATCCCAGCTACCTGGATGGCTAAGACATGAGGATCATCACATGATCCCAGGAGTTCAAGGATGTAGTGATCTGTGATTTCACCATTGGGCAACAGAGAGATCTTTTTTTTGTTTGTTTGTTTGTTTGTTTTTTAGAGACAGAGTCTTAGGTGATTCCATTGCCTCAGCCTCCCAAGTAGCTGGGACTACAGGCACCTGCCACAATACCCAGCTAGGGACGCTTGTTTTTTAAAAAAAATTTTTTTTAATCATTTTAGAAAAATAATAAGAAAATATTGTGCTTTCTATGATTCAAAGCTGCAAGGCAGGGAGAAAATAAGACATTGTATGCAAAACAGATTTCAGGAGACAAAGAATATTTCTTAGAGCTTACCCAGTCTGAAAGCATATCCAGGAGAGATACACAACACACAATTTAAAAATTAGGACTGCCACTGGGCACAGTGGTTCACACCTGTAATCCCAGCACTCTGAGGAGGCTGCATTGCTTGAGCTCAGGAGTTTGAGACCAGCCTGAGCAAGAGCCAAACTCTGTCTCTAATAAAAACAGAAAAACTAGGTGTTGTGGGCACCTGTAGTCCCAGCTACTCAGGAGGCTAACGCAAGAAGATCTTTTGAGCCCACAACTTTGTGGTTGCTGTGAGCTATGATATCATGGGTCTCTACCAAGAACAATGAAGTGAGACTGTTTCCAAAAAAAACAAAGAAAATTAGGAGCCACAGGATTACGGGTGTACATTGAGACACATAAATGAAAGTGATATTGAAGGTATGGTGATTAATAGCTAACCTTAAAAAAGAAGACAGTGTTTCTCAAATTTAAGGTACATCAAAATCACCTGGAAGGCTTTTTGAGGTTGCTTCTCCCCTTAGAATTTCTGATTCAGTAGGCGTTGGGGTGGAGCCCAGGAATCTGTATTTCTAACTAGTTTTTGAGATATGCTAATATCTCTGGGGATCACATTTTGAAAAGAAGTGTGAATGAGTGCAATGTATTTGGTGAATACTGGTACTAACAAAGTTTCAGATAGAGACCAGGGAGTAGCAGAGAAATGGAAAAAAGCCAGCTGGACAGATTAAGAAAGGACCCAATAATGAAAAGCTAAAGAGTCTGATTCACCCATAAATGATGAGAGGTCACTGAAGAAATTTGGACTTGACTTTTACAAAAATGGAAAGGTACTATACTAATAGAAGTGGAAATGAGAGACTAGTTGTCTGATGAACAATCATGTAATCTCTGTACCTAATGTTTGTTGTTACTGTTATTTTTTGTTCCTGAGTAGTTAACCTCTTTTTTTATTCTAGGCTTTCCTGAATGTGTATTATACGGCACAACTATGCCATTCTTTTATTCTTATTTTAGTGAGGGTTGATTTCCACTATGATTTTGTTCCTCAATTCTAGGATTATTTAATCTGGTTCAATTTGGGGAGAAAAGCAGCATAAAACATAACTGTGTGTGTAGCTTAATTATTAAAATAAAGTCCTCTGATGCTGTAGGGGCTGAATGAGCATTAAAGAGCCTTCATCAAAGGTAGGAGGAACATAGCATATAAGATATGCATAGCATATTATATATATATAAAATATATATATATACATA